GGGGCGTGAGCGGAGGCGTGCGGTCGAAACTTTAAGTCCAGGTTGGGGATTCTGTCGATGAGCCGGGTGTCGATGAGGATGACGAGGTCAGTGGGAGCAGGAAGTCTCGCCAGCCACGACTTCAGCTCATCCATTTTGCGTGTCCCGCCAATTCCGTTCACGTTAATGCATAGGATGCGTATGTGTGTTAACATGGCCATGCTGTGGAGGCCACCGCACGGGAAAGCGTGCGTATCCACGGCCTGGGTCTTAGGGAGCTTTGCTGCGTGGTCGGGTAGGGCAGGTGGGGGATGGAGCGAGGGATTGGCGCAGTGTCCCAAGGCACTAGGCGGTCAGCTTGGGGAAGAAGGCACATGGTGTTGTGCTGTGTTCGTGTGGGTGAGGGGGAGGTTCTTGCAATAGTGCATTCGCGAGCGATATGTCGTGGCCTTCATGGTAGGGAAGGTCGCGTGGGGCAGTGGGTTGTGGAGTCGAGCATTGTAGGCGCAGTGTGTTTGTTGGGGAGGTGTTCGTTCAGAAGGTAAGTGTGGTGGATTCTAGGTTCTGTTGGGCTATGGAGGCTGGTCCTGCTTCTGATTTTTCTGGCTTTTCTCCTTCGTGCGCAGGGGGTTCCATTGCTGGTGAGGCTATTATGTAGGGGTACTTGTATGGAGTTTGTGGTGCGTATAGTGTATGTGCGAACCAGCTTTATGTGAGCATATCCGTAACTACCCCACCAGGCTGGCGGGAGGATCAGGGCGGGTGTGGAATGTGGCAAGGTAGCACACAAATAGACCTTAGGTGCTAGTGTATGGTACTTATGGTTGGTAAAGGTGCGACTCCTTTTCCGGCTTTTGACGTAAATGAGCGATGCATTGCCACTATAAGGCAGTGTTGACAGTTTGCAATGGGAGAAGTATAAAGTGCTATTCTGGTAGCAATGTTTCCAGCTACAAGACTTGGAGCTGCAAGAAAAAAGCAGGTCGTAGCTAGTTGGTGCACAATCACAAGTGAAACCTGTCCGACAGGGCAGCGTGAAAAGTCCGGACGTGCAATATCGCGGGGTACGCAGACCAGGGGCAGCAGAGGTTACTAGGGTTGCAGGCCATGGGGGATGTTCCTCCGACAGCGGATAAGCTTCTGAGAAGCAGAAGAAACGAGGCAAGCTGCCTGGATCGCGGAGTGAGAGTAGGGGCAGGGAGCAACGCGAGTGAGGATGCGGAGGGCGTGGAGGGTGGAGCAGCGGGGCCTCTTGGCCACCTGAGGGTCCAGGGTGGAGCCTGAGGGGCTTGAGGGGGGGAGGCTGATCCAGGGGAACAGAGGGGCGGTATAGCAGCAAATTGAAATATGGAAGATCAACGATGGGGCCAGCTGTGGGAGCCAACAGGGGGGGGGAACAAGCCCGACCCTGAGGGAGGGGGGGGGACGGCATCATGCCGACGAAGGGCACGAAGGGTAGGTGGCTAGGAAGCATCGGGAAGAGGGGGGGAGGGGGGTGTTGTGAGCTGAGACAGTGAAGGGTGCAACAGATGCCACAGGGGTGTTAGAAAGGGAGCCAGGGCGGTCCAAGAGAGATGGCTGGGGGGCCGATAGGTTTCTCGAAGCACAAGGCCAAGCGCCAGCAGTGGCTAGAGAGGGGGAGTGAACGCAAAGGCGTTGGCCACAGCGATTCACGAGAGTGGGCTGGCAGCCTGATCGGCATTCCGAACCCGAGTACCACGCACATAGGCAGGGGTGTTGAGGTGAGGTGGGGAGCAGCGAAGCGATAGAGAGAGCGTCATTGTAGAAAAACAGGGAAAACGAATGATCATGTGGCTTGATACGATACCGATTGAGAAAGGCTGGAGGGTGCGCGGTACTACTTACCTGAAGAGGGGAGCGAGGGTGGTTGCGCAGACACGCTTGGGGCTGCCACCGCTGCCAAAAATAAAAGTACGGCGAAGGTGAGACGCCAACGCAGTCCCACAGAGAGCGGGAAGGGCGTTGCAGGTGGGCGTGCGGTAGGCTTTCCGTTCCACAGGGATGGCGCCTGCCCGACTCGCGAAGGAGCGTCAGGGAGGCGAGGCGCGCGGTCAAGCTCCGTTGTGAACGACGGCATGCTTGACATAAAAATTGGGGAAGGCGTGAAGGGGGGGCGAGCACGCATAGCGGAGCGATGAGAAGCAGCGCGTGCTTATGCGGCCGGTTAACCGTCGGCGGCGCGAGGGCAGATGAGGGCTTCCGGCAACCTTGAGATGCTCCGAGGTGGCAGCAAGAGCGAGAGCAGATGAGCGAGAGCGCGAGAGAGAAACTGAGAGCAAGCGAGCGAGAGCGTGAGCGTGAGCGAAAGGCGAAACCGGTCGAGGTAAGGCGTAGGGTGTTAACAAAGGGCGGGTTCGGCCTTGGAGTTGCTACGACCTGAGCTCTGCATGACGGCGTGAGGTTAGGAAAGGATAGCGAGGTGAGCAGCGGAAGCAGACCGAAGAGGAGGACCAACTTACCTGACGCCGAAACGATCTCGAGTGACAGGAACCAGCCTGATCGGCGACGGTTTGACAGTCGAACGGTGGAATAGGCAAGTAAGCTGGGGCTGCGATTATCCGCTGTAGGTAAAAACCTAGGTGTTAGCCTAGGTGGCGACATAGTCGGGTTAGGTGGCGGAGAGGTCGTGCATGGGTGCAGGAGGTTCGTTCCGCAGGGTCGTTTCGCAAGGGTGTTTAGAGGTTCAAAAAACTGGTTCTCAACAATGGGCCCAATGTTTCGAGGTTTGGCGCTGGGCACGCTCGTAAACAAAATCATAGGAGGCAACACACCATGTTCTAATGGGGTTTTCAGCTTAGCGGGGACAGGTTCCTGGACCCCTCCGCTTTCAGGTTAGGGGTAGCGCTTTCTGCGCACAGTTTCCGCTAAAGGCTGGGCTAGGGGGGGAGAGTTATTGTTCAGATTAGGGACTCGAGCTCTCAATGAGCCACGTGTCCCAATTAAAAAAAAAAACTCACTGTAGGTGTTCAATCACAGATTCTCCTCTGTTCGTGTTTGTCGTTTCTATTCCTTTTATTACATTCTAAATACCCAACGGTCACGCGACAAAAAAAAAAAAAACTCAATCGGGAAGGCATCTAGTCAGGGAGGCATCAACCCTAAACACCTTGTGGCATGGTGTTTAGGGTTTATGCTCCCTCGGACGCATTTTAGGGAGGAATCAACCCTAAACACGGGACCCTCCTTCTTGTTAGGGTTGATGCCTCCCGAGTCGCAACCTCTATATTGGGTATTATTTTTTTCGATCAGGAACTTGTGCACTATATTCTCAGGGTTTTGGGTGCACTATATATTCGACGGAAAAAAAAAAAAACTACGGCCACACAGGTTTGGGCACAGTAGGCTGACGAGCTACCCCGAACTTGGACTGTATTCGATAGAAAAGACAAGAAGGCGCTGTGCAGAATCGGAAATTGTAGATGTACAGTAAGCGAGCTGTGTAGGACTAGCCACGTGGCTCATTGAGAGCTCGACTCCTTAACCTGAACAATAACCCTCCCCCCCTAGCCCAGACTTATGCAGAAACTGTGCGCAAATAGCGCTGTCCATTCCCTGAAAGCGGAGGGGTCCAGAAACCTGTCCCCGCTAAGCTGAAAACCCTTCTGATGCGCTCCAGAAAGATGCATCACAACTGCACGTACAAATCTACAACATTGCATTGTAAATGCCTATTTCCTAGCTAGCACCTCCTCTGCACGCTACACCTCTAGCCAAGTGTGCAGTGATGGCAGAGCCGCGAGCTGTTCCATTTCTCATGCGGCTCCTGGTGGCCTGGATCACATTCTACTACACCATTTTTATGGACGTAGTAGGGCGTGCTGTCGGCGGCATGCTCGAAGGCGATGTCTTCGACAGCGAAGACTCGACGGCCGAGAGCTCACACTGCTCCAACAGGACGGCAGAGCGCGCGAGGAGGGCACGCTTGCATCGGCAGAGATACATGCTGCTGGGCGAAGACATGCGGGGCATGGGCGACACGGAATTCAGGGATTTGTTCAGGATCAACCGTGCCATCCTTGGAGACATTGTTGATGGAATGTCGTACTACATGCTGCCCTACGTCGAGCGCCATTTCATCACGCACGACATAGCCAACTTGGTAGCAATAAAGTACCTGGCAAGTGGTATGGCGTACGTCGACCTCTCGCACTTCTTCGGACTCTCGAAGACCCTCTGCCACGCCCTCGTCGACGTGTGGCTGATGCACTTCCCGAGCGTCTTCAAGCAGCAATGGGTGCACTTCCCAACCGCTGAGGATCTTGCCAAGATGGCCGAGGAGTTTCGCGCGGTCAAGGGGGTACCTGCTGTGGTGGGGGCTATATATGGGACACACATCCACATCGAAGGAATGGAAGGTCACAGGCAGGAGTACTATATGAGGAAGTCCGCCTACGCCGTCCAGCTGCAGCTCACCTGCAATGCGCGCGGAATCATTTGGGATTACCTGATAGGGTACCCGGGAAGTGCACACGACCAACGTGTGTTCATGAACAGTGCACTACAAGAGAGGTTGCACAACGGCGACATAGCGCCTTATCAAACGTGCAGCCTACCCACTCAGAAAATTTGGGAGACACGTGGGAGATGCAGCCTACCCACTCAGAAAATTCTGCCTGACCCCCCTACATGTACCCAAGAGGGCCTAATGGAAGATTGGGCGCAGTGCTTTAACTACTGCCAAAGCGCCACGCGCATGGCAGTAGAGCGCTGCATCGGGGCCTTCAAGAGCAGATGGCGACTATTCGCGGGCCGCAACGACTGCCAGCTGTGGCGCGTGCTGGCAGGTGCGTGTTGCTGCGTAGTCCTGCACAACATGTGCGAGACAATGGGACAGGTGAGGCGCGTCAACGAGGTGTGGGCATCACTACTACGGAACAGAGACCCGTGGTGGACAAGAGGCACGGTGGCGGAATTCAAGTGGGAGCCATGTGTCCCTCTCACTCAAGCAACACTCAAGGAGAGGCGCAAGCGGCTAGGTGAGGCGTTGGAAGCATCTTACCTTACTCGGCGTCGCCGCGAACCCACACTTCCTCAGCCTCGTCCGGGTTAGCAGCAGCGTCCCCGGTCTGTCCGCGACGGAACCAGCCGTTGTCGCCGCCAACGGTGGTGTTCGGGGTCGTCTGGGGGGGTGCGTCCGCGGCCACGCCGTTGCGGGCAGGCGGGGCGGGCGTAGACTGCTGGAGGCGTTCGCGTGCAATTCGCTCGTCCTGCTGCATCCATGCGCGGACAAGCCCTTCGAGCTTGCACATCGCGTCGTCGTGGCAGCCCTTGATCGTCTCACAGACAAGCTTCGCGGCCGCCATGGTGGCCGTCTCCGCCACGCGCGGGCGCTTGGAGGGCGGGGTGCACTGCGGGGGAGGGGATGAACAGGCAAGGAATAAGAGGGGAGGTTGTTAACGGTGTTTCTTATCACGGCATGTTATGCAATGAATGGATTTATGTTGCACAAAACAGCTGCATGAACACATGTTTACGAATAAGCAACAAGAGCAATGTCATAGGCATTGTATCAAAGGCTGCGAAAAAAAAGGCGGCCGACAAACCCGTGAATGTCGGTGTAGACGTAGTGGGCGCCGACGTAGAAGGCACCGTGAAGCCGCACGGCGCGTTAACGTTCGTAGCGCCGCCAGCTGCCACGGCATGCGGGAACAGGAACAGCTCCATGTACGGGAACCACGGAGGCTTGCACACGGTACCCTTGCCCGACGCTTTCTCTGCCTTCTTGAGCGTCTTGTAAAACTGTACGAGGTTGCGCCACTGTTTCTGGACGGCGTTGACACCACGAACCCACCCCGGGTTCTCCTTCTCCAGGTGATGCACAAGGCGCGCCCAATACTGGGACCCCTGCTTCCCGAGCAGGGGCTCGATTCGTCCTTCATGAACCAGCGGGCCGCGACAAAGATGGTGTTCTCTAGCGGGGACCACACGCTGCGCTTTACAGGCATCTGGTTGCGGGTCGTAGGAGCGCGGCGTGGAGGTTCGCCACCCTTAGAGGCGGCCTTAGCAGATGCAACGGTCACGGCCGGCACGCGTGGTCAGAGCCGCGGGCTGAGTTTCTTCAGGTGCGTCAGCATCATCCTCGGAGTCGTCGCCCTCGTCGTCGTCCTCAGAGTCGGATATTCCCTTGTCCGGCACCTTCCCCGAGTCAGCCTCGTCGTCGGTGCCGACGGCGTACTCGTTGTAGTCGCTGTCCTCATCGTCGTCCTTGTCATAGGCGTCATTGTCGACGATGCGCGAGGACGCAACCATGTCAGCGTCCCGACGCCCGCGCGTGGGGACGTCGCGCGGCACTTCGTACGAGGTGGCTCCTAGAGACGGTATACCTTTAGGCAGTGGGCCGGCGGGTTTGCGGCCCGCCGCTATCTGCTTGTTGATCCAGGCGATGTACGGGATCTCATTCACATCCCGCGGGACGTCCGTAGCAGCGTCAGCTGCGGTCTTGCGCTTCTTAGCCATGGCTGCCAGAGAGAGACGTGCTGGAGATACGGGAGAGAAATGGCGAGAACAGATCTGGGTGGGTGAATGAAGAGATGTTGCTGTAGGTGAGCTGTTGGGTCTGGAAGATGGCGTTGCCTGCTGTCATGGAAACAGCTTGATTGGATACACGGGCAGGGCGGTTGCTTTTCCTGCCCGAAAATGTCACATCCTCGAACGTCCAGGTGCATGCGGGCGAGCCGTGGGAAGGCTCGACATTTCGACACGCGTGCGATTTTCGGGGTGTGACGGGGCCTCGTACAACTCGTCAGCGATAGTACCGCAATTCATGCTGTCCAATTATAAATACAGTAAAAGTCGCACTAGTGCGGTCCGCGTTTCGGACATTGTAGTTTATATGCTGTTTTTGGGCGTCACAAAGCGATTAAGACACAAATATCGACACAGGAATGTACCCTTAGTATCTTGCACCCGCAACTACCAACGGGGAGGACGTGGGTTGCCCTGGCATCCTCAGTGTACCAGTCGGCAATTAGCGAGCATCTCTTTTGCGGCATCGGAAGCGATTCCCTGTTCAAATTCGACTACGCATGCATAGTGGTATTAACCCAGTAAGTAGGAGTGATATAGAAGGGCGGGATCATTACAGAATGAATGCATTCTCATGTTTCAATGGCTTGACCAGGTGTCACAGGAACCCAGGGCCCAAACACGCACTGCAAACTGGTACTGGTCCCAGTTTGAGCAGTCGGATTTTTTTGCTACGATGTTGACGTTGAAGGACCTCCATTCTTTGGGATCATCGGTGCCCCTCGTCTGGATGGTCCCTTCCTCAAGATCCCCGCCCAATAGCTCGTACCCCTCGGCGCGTGTCTCTTTCTGCACCATCCTCTCCGCCGCCGCTTCCGTCAGTAGAGCAGTTCTCTTCCCCGCAGCCATCTTCCGTTCACAATACCTATCCCGATACCAGTCCTAGAGACCCACGAGGAGAGGGGTGACCGGCAGGCGACGGATGGGGACGATTGAGCTGTTGACCTGCTCGGCTGCGTTGCTCGTGAAGATCCCAAAGTGGCGGGTTGGGGCCGCAATGCGTGTCCAGTGGACGAGGTTGATGCCCAACTTCTTTTTGGTACCACGCTTGTTCTGCCTAAAACCGGTCCGGACATGTGTAGTGTGGTCCCCAGCCGAGACACCGGCCTCTCGGGTGTTATCAACGGGAAACTCATCCGTGGCGGCCTGGTTCCCCTCTGCTGTGGCTGGGTCATCAGCATCCTCTGCCCCGGCATCCTCTGCATCTGCCTCCTCCACGTCGTCCTCCTCAATGTCGGCTTCAAGGTTAACCCGGGGGTTGCCCATACCAACATCTGGCCACGGGTGGTCGAGAGTGATGACGACCAATGCCTGGCAGGAGTTCCCCCCCACCCAGGCTGCTCCGCTCCCCCTTGGCTCGAGGTTCCGCATGATCCTGTTGCACGTGGTGGGTCCGTCCAGATGTTGCTGGGTATGTAACCCGTCCTGATGCGACGCAGGATGCGTGCATAGTCGAATAGACGCGGTCGGTGCAGGCCCAGGTCCAGTCGCAGTGGCTCCCGGCCCGTTCGCGGCACCCGGCGCACGCCCATGCGCCCGTGAAGTGTTGGCGCGACCCATGGTAGCACGGGCTGCCTCAAGACCCTAGTGGCGGTTTTCGGCTATGTGTTGACGTGCTTCGGCTGCTGTTGTGGGAGCGGGACGTTGCGGTTCACTAGCATCCGCCGGTGATGGAGCTGTGGCCGGCATCTCCATGCCGAGGAGATAGTTCGCCATTGGCGCGAAGTCACGGCGGCCTACTGCGATCAAGGCGTCCCATTTGTCACGGTCCTTGCATTTCACAAGACGCCAATAGAAAAGAGCAGCAGCCTCACCGAACTTCACAACATTCTGATGGAGATGCCACGCTCAAAAGTAGTGAGGTAAGCCAATCAAGAGCACATCCCGTGCAGCAAGAATCAGGCCCTTGTCACGATCGCTGATTATGGACGCATCATCACGGTGCGGCCACTCCGGGAAGCTCTCCATAAAGCGTTGCAGGAACCAGGTCCACGAATCCTTGTTCTCTCCTTCGACCAGAGCCCACGCCAGCATCAGAATCTTCTGGTGACCGTCTAGGACCACGGCTATGAGGAGAGTTGCGCGTTGTGCACTGATTAGGAACTTCCCGTCCAGTGCAACAACTGGGCGGCAAAAACCAAGTGAACCGCGAGAAGCGGACGGCTGAATGTACATGCGGTTGAAACAGCCGTCTACCGTCTGAATCTTGAAGTTTTCAGCCGGATCTATCTCGATGAACCTTGCAGCCAGCGCCGGCAGCAACCTGAACGACTCCTGCCAGTCCCCGTACATCTCCTTCTGGATTGCCTCACGCAGCCTCCACGCCTGCTTGTAACTGATCTGAAACTTGCTGTGGGCCGTGAGAAGCTGCTACAAGATCTTCACCGAAATGAACGGAGCGCCACGAACAAGGTTGCCCCATTGCCGCTTCATGACCTTGACGCTGTTGGCGAGGGCGTTTGCTCCTTGCTCTCGCTTGTATTTGCTGCAGATGTGTGTTTCAGGCGGGGAAAGCAACGTCACCATCTAGAATCCGCCGTGCACTACTCTACTGTAACTGCATTCCCAAGGGCATATGGGCGATTCTCCATGCATGGCGGTTTTGCATTGGAGTATCACGTGGGCGTCCGCCACCTCCACAGTCCCAAATCCAAAATGGTGGTGCAATGCGAATGCCTGCACCGCCTTGAGCGCCGCATCCCTCGAGGAGTATATTCCACTCTGCCTCAATGGGGCATTATCTCTTGGTGGTTTTGGTTGTGCTGGCGGTACGGGGGGAACGTTGCGCATGGCCTCTAAGATACTATTCGCTATTCGCTCGGCGCGTTCAGGTGGTTCCGACATGTTTGCTGCTGGGTGTTGAAACCTGATCGTCACATCTAATGGAAGAGCTAGGACATGGCAGACGTAAACAACTTTGAAAGGGCCACCATCTAATAGTAAAGTTACGACTTGGCAGACGTAAACAACTTTGCAGTCACCGAGTAAGCAGTTCTTGACGATGGTGTTGAATAAACGGTAAGTTCATGAGTACCATACTGAACATCAGTGAAATCGGGCTATAAAGGTGGCACGAATGTGAAATCCTTGGCAGGAATCTGTGCGCGCGCGATAGAGTCAGCGATTTGGACCCTGAGCACTGTCTCACGGGCCATTCGTGAGGCCTTCGTGTGGCTACGACATTGGCTGGACTGTAACTTCTGTCGGTGAATTCCACGCGCGCGAAAATAAGCGGCTTGAACTGATGGAGGTGTTTCGCATGTAGTTTACTACGGGCCACGCAGCGAAGGTGAGTGGCAGGAGATTTGAGCGTCCGTTAAAGAAGCACAGTGGTTCCGTGTTTGGAGGATAGAATTTCCTTGAAATCATTATACCACACTGTTACGAATGCTTCGTGGGCGGCGTAATGATGGGTCGGGGTATCGAGTTGTCATTCTTGTAGTCACGGGCAGAAACCGTGAGCCTTATTAAAACTCGTAAAAATACACAAGATGAGTTTTGATGCGGAAAACTGACCGCGGGAATCGGGCGCGGGCGTGTGGCAGGGGCCGTGGGAAAGCCACTGCCCGTTGGAATTGGAGTCGAGAAAGCGCCGCGGTTCGTCATTCCTTCAGCAACCCTTCGATTTGGCCAAAATTTGTCATCATTTTGGAAGCCAAAGTAATACACTTCTTATACTTTGCTTTGTTACGGGGTAGTTTACTGCTCATGGGCGGTTACCCTGAATAGTGCCTCAACCCAATCCCAACCTTATCTTCATCCAATCCCTTTGGAATTTCCTAGATTTCTCAACCGCCACGTGGCACTCTACTTCTCTAGCTTTCCGCGGGCAGTTGGTATCGCTAGGAGAGCTGAAGGGGTGCTGGGATCGGAAAAAAATATCAATCGGTCAAGAGGGATCTCTGGACAGGCAGATGGGTAGGGGAAATCTACTGGATGTGGGTGATTAAAATCCGAGACTCCCTTGTGACACCAAACTGTCAAGATTGTAGCTATGGTAACTTAGGAGGAACTATAGATTAGAGTAGCGAGAGAGTCACGAGAGAGAAGAAGAGAAGGGGTTTGCAATAGAAAACAATGTACACGATATAGGTGGCAAACAGGGCTACACCACCAAGAGATTCACCTAGATGATACTACACTAGATACCTACAAGCAGTAATAAGAATATAAGGAACATTCAACATCCCCCCTTAACTGCATGCAGGTCTATCTAGTGAGGGGCAGTCACCCATAGGGGAGCATTCACCAGGCAGTAGTTGGGACCACCGTGATTAACTCCCACGGCATATGCCCGTTTGCGGTTTAACTCCCGCAGCGGGTGCCCGGAGTGCATGTAGGGGAGTGAGCACACCCAGAAACGATGGACCTAAGGCTGCGAATTGTTGCAATGGTCATGAGACGAAACGAGAGAACGCCGGAAGAATAAAAGAAGGAAAAAAAAAACACGATTAAATCGGAAACAGAAAACGTAGGCGGGGCATGAGGAGATGGAAAAAGCGAGAAGAGGGAGCAGTGGAAGAGAGAGAATGAAGAGGCGGTGGTTATGGGCGACTGCTGAACGTTTCCGCCACCCCCTCACCCTCCCCTCCACGGCAGCAGGCGTGGTCGGGAGAGAGAGAAGAGAGGATGGGCGGGGGTGCTAGTGCTGCCGGCCAACTCACGCCACCCTTTCACCTTCTCTCCCCGTCCCCGCCACCTCTCCCAGCAGCAACCGCGAGTGAGGCGTGGCAGGGCGCGGGTGTTGCTGCTGGGAGCTTACGGCAGCCAACCGCCCCACACCACGTCCCTAGCGGGTCTGCTGGCAGGGCCGTTGGCGGGCTCCCTTGCGCGCTGGCGGGTACGCTGCGCAGTTGCTGGCGCTGGCGCTGGTGATGGCACATGTCGATGTCGCAGGCGTCCGTCGCTGGCGCTGGCACTGGCGCTCGCGGCCAATGAGTGGGTAACGAGGCTGTACGTGCACGGGCAGCTGTGTGTGTGCGGCTGCTGATGCGCTCGTGACGGGATGGGGCGGGGCAGCGCGAGGGGCGGGCAGTGCGCGGGGCGGGCATTGCGGGATGGGGCAGCCAGCATGCGGCGTGCTAACGGGCTGCGCGTCTGGTGGGCCCATGATTCTTAAAAATAAGGGGAAAGGTCCTAGGAAAGGACCTGCTCTGATAGCATGTCAAGATTGCAACTATAGTAACTTAGGAGGAACCATAGATTAGAGTAGCGAGAGGGACACGAGAGAGAAGAAGAGAAGGGGTTTGCAATAGAAAACAAGGTACAAGATATAGGTGGCAACGAGGGGTACAGCACCAAGAGATTAACCTAGATGATATTACACTAGATATCTACATGCAATTATAAGAATATACATTCAACACAAACATGCTGCGGGACGTGCTGCTGAGAATCCACAGTCTTAACCTGCAAGTGGGGGGAGGCTCTCATTCCTAAGTGGCAAGCCGGTCTGTCCGCACAGCGGGGAGCTCGAAACTCTGGAACATTGTCTCTTCACCCACCTGCGCATACGGCTGGTGGTGTGGCAGTCAGGCGTGCCATGCGCATGCTGAACCCATCGAGACAAGTGGCTGATTTGGGGGACTTGCTGTTTGGGAAGGCAGCGTCCACCTCACCTTTTCCGAAAGCATCTCTCTTTGCCATCATGGTGCACCAGATATGGGCAGAGAGATGCGAGTGCGTTTTTTGGGGAAGGAGGTTCAGGGCTCGGCGCGTCCTCAAGCGCATTGAGCCAGCTTTCCGGCTGCATGTGAAGGTGGACAAGGCGGCGGTTCAAAGCGACATAGGAAGGCCTATGCGCTGACAGAGCAGGAAGATGGAATTCTTGGCTGTATTCGCGCTTTGGAATCTTGCGAGAGGGGCTCTGCATCCGCCCTAGAGGCTTACTCTGAGGCCGTTAATGTCTTTCCACCTTTCATGCTCAGTTACGACTGACATACAAACGCTTGTATCACCGGTGTATAGTGAACATATTCACAAGAAGAAAAGAAAAAGATATTTCTAGCTTTCCAATTCCTAGTCCCACGAACTACTTTCCGACATTCAGTCTTGCATGCTATATCACCCTTGCTTGTATCAACCAATTCTCATTCAACTATTACTAAGTTGCTTCTTCGCATATTTGCTAACACTTCCTTCGCCAAAGTCTTCCTAACAACTTGTTTAGGAGTCTATTATACCGCACGAGCTTCTTATTTGTAGTTAATTGCGAACAAGCGTACTGTTCGTAGTATGTATGTGTATATATACATAGTTTTATAATGTTGGGTGGTATACGATAGTGATAATTACGTGAGTGTTATGAAATGCATATAACAGTGCATTCCTCTCTTGACATTTGTGTCACAATCCTGACGTACCGCTTTGTACTGACTCAAACCGCTTTGTTATAAAAATTTGAAATTGGGTTCGATTCAGTACAGAGCGGTACCCTGGGATTGTGACACAAATGTCAAGTCAGGAATGCACCCTAATACATGTTATAAATTCAACACATGTGCTTAGATGAATGCAATGATGCAATTATGTTAAACTAACAAAGAGCAGGACAAATGTGACTACACACACACACCTCACGTACGCACGCACACACGTATGCACACACGCGCGTGCGCACACACACACACACACACACACACTCACACACACACACATGCGCGTGCGCGCGCACACACATGCACACACGCACGCACGCACACGCACGCACGCACACACAGACACACACAGACACACACAAACACACACAGACACACACAGACACACACACGCACGCACGCACGCACGCACACACACACACACACACACACACATACACATACACACACACACACACACACACACGCGCGCGCGCGCGCGCACGCGCGCGCGCACCCCCACACCCCCCCCCCCAACACACACACACCCCACGCGCGTGCACGCACGCACGCGTGCGCACCCATGCGCACACGCACACACGTGCACGCACGCATGCATGCGCACACACACGCATACACACACACACACACACATATCAAAGTACAAGGCAAAGTGAAGCGGTAAGCAAGTGAGGCAGAGTACACGCACGGCCTAGATCAGAAAAGAAAAAATCATGATCACGAGACCCAAGGGCCTTGGTAGAATATATCAGCAATGTTGGTCTCAGAGGCCACGTAACGAAGTCGTGCTGACCACTTTGCTGCAACTCTCGCACGAAAAAGTAGCGAAGGGCAATATGCTTCGTTCTGTACTCCTCTTGACACAAGACAATCATGACATTGTTGTCAACGTACAAAACTGGAGGAGAACGAGGCCGCTCACCCAAGTCGGTGGGCAAGTAGATCAGCCAGCATAAGTCCTGGCGCCAGCCATAGCCCCAACGTAGTTCTCGGCCTTACAGCTAGAGCTAAGTACACAAGAGGAGCGAGTGGACCTTATTGAGACAAAGCCAGTTTCTGAGACAGAAAGTGTAGCCCTGTGAAGACATGTGGGTCTCTTGGTTGTCAGTCTACGAAGCATTTGAGTGCCAAATGAGTGCAAAGGAGCCCTGTCCCCCAAGCACAAGCCCCATGCTCGATGTACTGGCCAAGTAGCGCAGCACCATCGTAGCACCCCAATTGTGCTCAGGGTGTTGTCTCCCGGGCGCAATGAAGCCACCTGGATGCTGAGAGGGTATGCGAGGCCGGGCTGAGTGGACGTTCTCGGACCAATCGGCTCTACGGACTTGTCCGAAGGTGGAGCTGAGAGGGGGTGGCCTATAGGCAGAGAAATGGGCTGTGGCGAGGAGAACTGAAAGCGGAAGCGCTAAAGAGCCTGCTGCACTAGGTGTGGCTAGGTCAGATTGATGGTGCGCGCTGCTTTGTCCCGGGTGAGCTGCAGTCAAGATAGCTCTGCAGCTCACCCAGGTCAGTGTAGATGAGTCCCTTCTGAAGCTCCGCCTTCACAAGGGTCAGTGCCTTAGTGCCAAAAGTCGCAAAAAACAAGCTGTCAACATACACGAGGAAGTAAAATGGTGGCAACGTAGAGTCGGTGCGTAGAAACAGCGACACTTCAGCAGTTGAAGGAGCGAACCCAAGAGCCGCAAGTGTTGTCCTCAATGTGTTGTACCAATCGCGGGGCCTGACGGAGACCGTAGACTGGCCGCTGGAGCCTCTATTAAGTACCCTCAGGAAAAGACCTAGTGAAATCAGTTGGGCGACGCAACCAGATCTGCTCGTGGAGGCTGCCCTGCAAGAAAGCTATTGAGAAGTTGAGCGAGTGCAGCTCGTAGTCATGCTGTGCTCGCGGGGCCTGACGGAGACCGTAGACTGGCCGCTGGAGCCTTTATTAAGTATCCTCAAGAAAAGACCTAGTGAAATCAGTTGGGCGACGCAACCAGATCTGCTCGTGGAGGCTGCCCTGCACAAAACCTATTGAGAAGTTGAGCGAGTGCAGCTCGTAGTCATGCTGTGCTACAACATGTAGTAAATCCAAAGAGTAGTCACCTTCGAGGTGGGGGAGAAGGTCTGGAAGAATTCAACTCCCTGACGCTGACTGAAGCCTCGTGCAACATAACGCACCTTGAAGGCAGGCGAGGAACTCGGCGGCCGCTTCACCCTGAAAGTCCACATGCCATCGACTTTATTCGCCTTAGGAGGGGGAACTGCATCAACGTAGGTGCCTGTGGACTTCCAGGATGCCATCTCTACGTCCATGGCTGTCTGCCATTTACGAATCCGTGATCGCCACTGCGTAAGAACGCGGGGTTGCGATGTCCAGGGCATCTGGGTCTCCCTCAGAGGCAAGCAGCATGGCAGCAAGATGAGGTACAGCAGTCGCGAAGCACTCCAGCTTAAACTGTCTATCCTCAAGGATGTCACAGCCAAGGCCAATCTAAGAATCGAGACTCACATGGTAGTTAAGGCAGTAGATAGTTAAGAAGTCAACAAGCTTCATGGCTACGGCAGACAAAACAACAGACAGAAATGTAGGGTCCGTCACTAGTGTGGCGAGACAACGAGTGACAGTAGGAATGGCAGCACGGGCAAGGTCATGAAGGGAGGACGAGGGAGGTAACGGCAGGGCAACACGCCGTGGGATAGAGGAAGGACGAAATGTCATGGTGTGAGTGCCGGGAAAAGGTAGAGGGGGAACACAGTGAGCACGAGGAAACGCGGGCAAGGTGAGGTAGGATGAAACGCGGGCTCTCAACGCTTAGTTAGGGAGTCTGTCAATGGAGTGTAACGAGAAGGAACAGGCAGTGGAGAGTCAGATGGTAATTGTGTCTGAGACAAGTCAGGTGGTGGAAACAGTAGAGGAGGAGTAGCACCAACGGCAGACGGCTCTGAAGAGGCAGATGGAAGACGGAGAAGTTGGTGAAGCGTCGAGCCAAGTGATGGCAACGGCGACAGCGGCTGCTCCTAGAACAATGGTCGCCACTGCAGCAGCTGCGCAACACCCCAAGAATTAGCTTCTCAGTGTTAGTACCAAGAACTCCTCCAGCTCATTCACAACCAACACCCTCGGTGGCCACACGTCCAGTGCCACGACTTCGAGTTACCTCCAGAGTCACCCAAACCTCCAGCACCTTAGCTCCAGAACCTCCAACACCTCCGGCTCTAGCACCTCCAACACCAGACCTCCAGCACCTCCAGCTCCAGTACCTCCAACTCCAATACCCCCAAAACCTCTAGCAACGGACCTAGGACGTAGCAACGATGACTGCTGCTGCTCCTAGAACAAGGGCCGTCGTGGTAGGGGGTTCGACGCACCCGTAGGACCTCTAGCAGTAGTACCCTCGACTCCACCACCACTAGAACGCTCAGCAATCCCTGAGACAGCACCTTCAGGGTCAGCACCCCCAGAGCCCTCACCTCCAGAGTCACCAACCCCAGGACCAGCACCCCCGGAGCCCACACCTCAAGCGTCACCACCTCCATCTGCACCACAGTCCACAGCGATAGGCTGCGGATGCGGCGAATACGGATGAGATGGAAAACCAGGAGGAGTCTCCAAGCGTGGTGAGCGGCGAGAGGGGCACTGTGTCGTCAGCCTTAGGGTCAACCCCCTCAGCAAGACCAAGGGGGGTCTGAGGAGACTTATAAAGGCTCAACTAAGGGTGGTTGGTGTGATCTGAGACACACATGAGGCAGGAGGACGCTAGGGGGGTAAGGGGGTCTATTCGGGGGTAACCTGAAACCTGAGAGAGGGGCGGGAGGGGGAACATGGGAACTGCGGTGGGGGTAGAGACGTTAATAGCAAACTGACTCATCAAAGGTGACGTCTCGGGAGGACAGGACAGGGCGCATGGCTTATAGTGCGAGGACAGAGCTTGCACGCAGTAGGAACGCGGACAAAGGCAAGCGAGCTTCTGAACCGAAACGTCAATGCATCGTCAACCTCCCCCGTCCAAAGCAAGGTAGCGAGGTCTCTGGCTAGGAGGTACGAAGCCAGAGGTTGAACTGATGCACGGCGTATCAGACCGCAAACGACCACAGAAAATGGGGAGCAGCCACATGGATCATGGAGGTGCAAGCAACCTCCGTGATCAAACCAATGCGCTCAGGGATTCCATTCTGCTGTGGAGACGCCGAAAGCGTGAACGAGTGGGTGATGCTCTCCTCATGACAAAAGTCCTCAAGAAGACCGGAGGCAAACTCGCCACCACTATCAGTGTGCAGACGGAGCATCGGGAGGCCCTAGCAGAACAGTGCGCTAAGGTGGCGACATATAGCACGGATTAAAAGGATCAAAACAACATGGACGTCTTCGTTTTGCGCTAAGAGAAACACTGTTATATAGCGTGTGAAGCCTTCAACGAGCAGAAGAAAGAAGCGCTCTCGGCACGGCCTGGAGACAAGAGCGGGGCAACACACGTCCATGTGCAGCATCTGTAGAGGGACAGTGGTCGGAGGGAACGAGGAGGAATGAGGAGCGACGAGCTGCCGCCCTTCAACGCATGGATTACACGGTGACGCAAGCGACGGCGCGAGCAGGGGCAGGGGGTGCGGGGGAGGCCAGAGACAAGGAGACATGAGTGCATGCGACGTAGACGCCGCAAGGAGGGATGGGTGCGTGAGCAATCGACACGAGCAAGACGCAGCTACCTGACCTGACACAACCACATGAGCAGACTCAGTGTGCAGTGTGTACAGTCTAGACCCAGGCCTACATGTGAACGTGGCAAGATGGTATCCAGTCTCCGTGTCCGTATAGATCACCACACGCTTGCCCCCAGGTATGGTGGTGGTGACCATCATATCCGCGAGGTGAGCGGTACTCACAAATTCGTAGCGAGCGAGGGGGGTGGAGACTTGTAAGGGAGCTAGGGGGGGCTGTTGGACACGGGAGAACAGTGGAGGTATGTGCAACGACTGGGCCAGAAGAGGGGTCGGCCAGGGTGACAGGGACATGTGCTGTTAGCGGCCTGATTGTGGTGCAGCTTCAGAAGAAGCACTGAGATGCGCCGGACTACAATGTGAAGGTGAGCAATGCCTCCAAAGGATCTACACCTGTGCTAGTAGTCCCATAGGCACCTACACTAGCAGCCTCTATGCTACCAAATGAGCACATAAGGAAAATTTTCACCCTTAGCACTAGCAGCATTACGATACGTAGCATATATTCCAGCATACTATCAATAAAAAGAAAATGCACTAACTCCCTTCTTAAGCAATCCTAACCAGTCAGAATTCTTGACCTGCTCACCAAACTCCGCTCGAAAAGTGTCTTCGATGCGGTAGAAGTGTGGGACTTAGTGTGCCCAAGCCAGCCGCAGACCTCAGCAGGGCGGGGACCAGTGCTTCGGACATACTGGCAGCAACCACCGCCATCGGAAGAGCCTCGCTGGGCAACCCACTCAGGAAGCTGCTGTGAGTCTCCTGCTGACGTGGATCCAAAACATCCGCCTCCATGAGCCGCACCACCAGACGCCGCTCCCTGGCCTCCACCCCCTCCAGCTCCACCTCGACCGCCACTCGAGGCCCCTCCGCCACTCCCACTGCCGGCACCAACCTTGCAACCTCCTCCACCACCGCCACCTTCACCACCCCCACCACCGCCACTGCCACCACCTCTGCCACCTCCACCCCCACCTCCACTACCCCCACCACCCCCACCCCTAGTACGCGCATCCCTGCCGCAGCGCCTCCCGCTAGGAGCAGACGCAATACCAACCTCCTCAGCACCAAAGAGGTCAACAGCAGCTGCTGAGGCAACAAAAGGCGCGAGAAAGGAGGGGGGGCACCCCTCAAAGAAGGAGGGGCGGGGAGTAACATCGAAGGCAGCTATAGCGCGGGCAATGGTCTCGGTGCTGGTTCTCGGTGAGAAACTCTAGCTTGAGAGCAGCACAGTAGCGCGTGTCAAGGGAGCGCAGATGAGTCATGAGGTCGGATACAATCGTAACGTTAGACATCTCAGGGAAGAGAAACAACATCACAAGACGGCCAAGGGCAGCTGGAGAGGGAGAAGTAGCGCTTAACTACAGCGTCATAGAGTGTTTTGACTGTTTTCGGTTGGCGAAAGTGGGACCCCTGGTCAGGCGGGAGGTGAGTGCAGACTGCAAGCTGGGAAGTGGCGTCTCGTGCTAACCATTGTGTACTAGCAACGCATCCTATATCGCTCCTCCATGCCCGCTGGCATAGTAGGGTCAGGTACAGTCGGAGAGGGTGGGGTCTTAAGGGACCTCGATACATCATCCGTAGTTACGCCCAATAGGTACAGGTCAAGGTCCTCTAGCCAGAACTCATACTCGATACGGTAGCCTTCCACATTGAAGGTCAGTACAGTACAGTCACCATGGTAAACAACGTAGCTTAGCGGCAGCGGGCCGGCCAGTTAGTGGCGGTGTGGCGCACGGGCGACAGTGGCAGCGATATGATGCACGGGCAGCAGCGGCGGCAGTGTGGTGTACGGGCGGCAGCGAGGCGCACGGGCGGCACCGGTGGCGGTGCAGCGTACGAATGGCAGCAGCGGATGTGCAGCGCATGGGCGGCAGCAGTGGTGCACGGGCGGCAGCGGCTGCGGCAGTGGCTGCGGCGCGGCACACAGGCGGGAGCTGCGAACGGGCAACGGCGGGCCTGGCAGCGGCACGTGGGGCAGCGGCATGCGGCGCAGCAACGCGCAGGGCAGCGCGGCGTGCGGTGCAGCATCGCGTGGAGCAGCGACGCGCAGGGCAGCTGCGCATGGAGCAGCGGCGCACGGGGCAGAGGGGTGCTGGGCAGCACCGCGCGGGGGGAGCGACGCGCGGGGCAGCAGCACCCAGGGCAGTGGTGCACAGGGCAGGGGGCTGTAGGGCAGCGATGCGCAGGGCAGCGGGGCGCGAGGTAGCGGCACGCACGGTGCAACGGCGCACGGAGCAGTAGCACACGAGGAAGTAGTGTGCGGTGCAGCAAAGCGCGCGGGGTGCAGGGAAGGCAGCGCGCTCGTGGCAGGGAAGGGTAGAGCATCGTGTTCAGGGTAGGGCACCATGGTAGCGTGGGGCAGTGACGGGCAAAAGGAACAGGCAGGACACTTAGATCGTTGCTTACCAGAGAATGACGCACACTTAGTGGACGGCTTACCGCTGCCCACACGAGAAAGGTGACGATAGTGGAGACCCACCACGGGAGAAATTTAGGGATTACGCATGAAATGCTCGCGACAACACTGGATGGGACCAATATTTTACTGGGACGTGATTGGATGCGAGGCTACGACCCGGAATCGACTGGAGTAGTTGTTCTGTGCAAAGCGGCAGTAACTGGACTGCATTACCTTGGTGGCAGTCGCTCGAGTCTTCAACGGTCCACGTCAACACCATCATGATGAAACAGGCCCTTCCTTTGGAGCTGGCGGGTACAAATTGGATGCTACGTCAGTAGGAGAAGCTAAGAGGACGAAAAGCTGAGCGATTTTTAGACACCTCCGGCCGTTTTACCATCCGAACTGCAAGAATTACAGAGACGGTGCCCCCAATTTTTTCCTGACAATTTACCGGAGGGGCTGCCACCTCAGCGAGCACACGACCACCGCGTAGAGACAGAATCGTGTGCACAACCAATTGTAGAGCGATATTTTGGACTGACCCAACTCGAGCTGGACGAGTTGAGGAAACAATCGGATTATATAATGGAGAAAAAAGTTCATCCGACCGACTTTGTCACCATTCTCCGCGCCGATACGGCTCATGCCAAAGAAAGACAGAGGTTTTCGCATCTTCATCGATTACCACACATAAAATAGAACGGTCAAGTAGCGATACCCCATCCCTCGTGTCGACGAATGATCGATAAACTGCGAACAACTAGGGGTTTTTCCGAAAACCGACCTTCGTGGCTATTACCACCAAATCTGAGTCGAACCTACAAACTGCGCGAAGACAACTTCTAGAACTAGGTACGGGTCTTTTGAGCACACAGTGATGCTGTTCGGGCTGACTAACGAGCCCGCAACATTTCAAATGACAACGAATGAGACGTTTAGGCCACGTTAGATAAATGCGCCATCGTTTTCTTCGACGACGTCTTAGTTTACAGACGGGATAAGCAGCAGCAAACTAGGAAACTCTCAGCGGAAACGGGTCTCAAGCCTGACGACCCTGTGACGACCTGACGACCTGCTGCCCCGGGCAGAAAAAAAAAACTAAACCCCCATCGGATGGCATGCCATCCGAGGGAGCCTCAACCCTAAACACCATGCCTCCACGTGTTTAGGGTTGCGGCTCCCTGACCGGATGCATGCCCGTCTGGGGTTTATTTTTTTTGCCCGCGGGCAGCGAGCTCCCCCGGGCGGACTCGCTTGTCCGCTGAGATTCGGCGGAAGTGGTTTTAGAATTCTAGCCGAGCATCGGCTGCTGATGAAGGGTTCCAAGGCACGTCAATTTTATAGGCTGGGGTTGAAACAGACCCGAAAAAAAATGGATAGTATCAAGACTTAGCACCCCCGGCAAACATCATGGAACTGAGGAGCTATTTTGCTTTGTTAACTATGTGCGTCGTTTCGCCCCGACATGGCAAGGTTAACAGCCCACTGACGGACTTGTCGCGGAAGGGTTTGGTTTTAGGTGGGGGCAGAAAGAGCATGCTGCCTTCTCTACCTTGTTCTCTGTTCACAGTCGATGCAACGCATTGCCGACCCACACCGTCCGTTCTAGTGGTTACCGACGCTAGTGACATCCCCATTGGAACCGTACTGCTACATGATTTTGGTAACGGCTTACAAGCCCATCACATACGAGTCACAAAAGACGCACCCGCCTAAGAACAATCACCCGATTCATGACCGCAAAATGCTCGCGATCGTGCACGTGTTCAAAGTGCGGTGCTGTTACTTGACCGGCGCTGACATGACAGTATGGACAAACCACAGATCATTACAATACCTTCGCGTGCAACCTCGCCTCAACCTACGCTATATCCGGCGGCTTGATTTTCTTGAGTTAAACTTCCACTACACAGTCACCAATGCAAAGGGTTCTTCAAATATTGCCAATCAGCTGACCCGCCCGATTGCCCAAATACACGCAATACTACTTGCCCAGACCAGCCCACTACTCATGAAGCTATTTACACACGGCTATCAGACAGACCCATTCTTCACTGAAGGAAACTCGCAGCAGTTTGCAGCAGCTCGAGCGATGTATTAGGTAAAAACTGGCAATGATCGCTTCTGGGTACTGGGCCACAACCTAATGCGGGGGTTACTACTACAAGAGGCACACGACAGGGTCACCTCGGGACATTTTGAGGTCGAGAAAACACTATAGCAGTGCAGCGATACCACTATTGGCCCGAAATGTTGACTGATGTGCAGCGATACGTGGCGTCGTACCCCACCTGCCAGCGCATGAAGTCGTTACGATGGCGACCAGCAGGATAGTTATAGCTGATACCATCCCAAGAGCGTGCTTGGCAGTAGGCGACGACAAACTTCGTCACGGGGTTACCAGCTGGGGCGAGTGAGAACAATGCGAACCTCATCGCCGTCGATCGGCTAATACAAATGAACCTATTTCGTAGCCTGCAAGAATGTCAATTTCAGCCGAAGAAACAGCCCGTTTCTTCATCGCAACCGTCATTCGACCATACTGGATACCCGCAACGATCTGCTCGCGGAACCTGTGGCAACAGAACGGCAAGCGACCAGAGTTCATTTTGTCGTACTACCCCGAAACCGACTGTCAAACGTAACAGACCAATCAGACCATCGAGGAGTTCATTCGCGCCACGTGTGACGACCCGAAAACATAAGAGCAGTTACTGCCACCCATCGAGTGAGCGTACAACAATTCCACGTCAGCTACGACCCAACATTCGCCAGTTTACCTTAAATACGGACAGAATCCCACCGAATTCTGACAATCTGGTCTTACGTGCACAGCAATTCGACAAAACATTAAAAGCACCCCGGACCTTAGTAGTAGACGCATAAAAGAATTGAACGTCATCGCTAAGCGCAATGCCGATCTCCACCGCTGCCCCGTCACCAACTAGCCCGACGACCTAGTATTACTCGACACTCAGAACTCCTGCCTGCCCGTCACTCCTTTGTTATGTCCACGATATTGAGGGCCAGCACATGATCGCACTAGTCACCGCCTACCTCCTCCTACCCGCTGATTTGTACGTCAGCCCCTCGTTCCACGTAAACCTCCTCCGACCCTACGTCCCATCAACAAGTCAACTGCCACACAGCAGCCCATCAGAAGGCTCCTATTAGAAGGCTCCATGGGGGGGATTGTCCCACCCGTGACTGTATCGGGAAGAAGATGTGTTCGGCGGAGGTAGGTTGTCTGAGGTGGCGGTCAGCAACAGTACGGAGGGCCGAGATGACGTTTCCGGCGGAGGAGCACTCAAAGAAGATGTGCGGCAGTGTCTCGACGACGCCAGCTGGGCACCGGGGGCACACCCCTCGGTCGTCAAAGTATTGAAAGCGTGATCAAGAGGGAAGGGTGAGCGTGTAGAGTCTGAAAAGGATGTCCCGTTGGAGGCTCGGCTGGTCTTTGAAAAATGAGTCCTTAAGGCCAGGGAGGGGAGGAGGAGGAAGAGTGAGGTCGCGGGTCCATCGGCTGTGGTGAGTAAGCGGTTGCGGTGAGTAGAGGAGACGTCGGATGTCGGCGAGGCTGGGGACGCCGTCCTGTAGAAGTTCTATCCTAGCTTCTAACCCTGCCCCTGTGTGAAGTGGCCCTGCGAGCCACCAGTCCCTAACGTGCACCTCTATGAGGTCCTGAAGACGGAAGAGTCCAGTAGATGCCGGGGGGCAAGTGATGCGGTGGTTTGGCGATACGAGGTGGACGGTA